AAGAGTTCCAGGCCAGCCTGGGCTACAGGATAAGGGGTGGGGTGGGGGTGGAGGCACACTCTTCTGGCCTTCCCAGGCATTGCATGCACGCGGTACACAGACAGACTTGCAGGGAAAAACACAAAGACAGGAAATAAAAATAAATAACTCCAGCTCTAAGGGGATTGATTCTGCACCCTCTTCTTGCCTCTGTCACTGAGACAAATAATAAAACAAGTCTTTAAAAGAGAGAGTTTTCCCTGGGTGGTGGTGGCAGGTAAAGCCTTTAACTCCAGCACTCCTGAGGCACGGGCAGAGGGATCTCTGTGAGTTTGAGGACAGCCTGGTCTAAAGAGGGAGTTACAGCCAAAGCTGTTAGACAGAGAAGCCCTGTCTTGAAAAACAACAAAGAGAGGAGAGAGAGAGAGAGAGAGAGAGAGAGAGAGAGAGAGAGAGAGAGAAAGAGAGAGAGAGAGAGAGAGAGAGAGAGAGAGTTCTCCTTTTTGAAGACAGGCTTTCTCTGTGTAGCCCTGACAGTCCTGGAACTCATTCTGTAGACCAGGCTGACCTCAAACTTAGTCTCATGGAGACCTGTCTCTACCTTCTGAGTGCTGATATTAAAGACATGCACCACAACCATATATAATATTAATTAAAATTAAATAATAAAATTTAAATTTATTTTATGTATGTTGGTGTAAAGGTGTCAGATCCCCTGGAACTGGAGTTACAGACAGTTGTGAGCTGCCTCGTGGGTGCTGGGCATTGAACTCAGGACCTCTCTGTAAGAGCAGCTAGTAGTTAAGAGATGGATTTTAAGCTTTTAATCACTGAGCCATCTCCCCAGCCCACGAGAGTTCTTGTAAGTCCTAACATTGTGTACAATATAGTACATATGTTTACAACGAATGCAAACAATTATAGCATGAATTCTAATTGTTCTTAATAATAAAAGCCTGGAGTGGGATATTGAAGTAAATGCTGAAGGATCAGAGAAGTAAAGGAGCCAGCCACTAGAGAGACGTCTTACCTCTACCGAATCATCATTTCTGTCGCCCAGCCATATCACTTCCTGGCTCCACCTCCATAGGGATTAAAGGCGTGAGATCCCAAGTGCTGAGATCAAAGGTGTGAGCTCTGTTTCTCCTTTACACTGGTAAAGTCTCACTCCTGATCTTCCTGCTTCCACCTCCAAAGTGCTGGGATTAAAGGAGTGTGCCACCACTGCCTGGTTATTAAGTAGTAGTTAGCTCCGCCCCCTGATCTTCAGGCAAGCTTTATTTGTTAGAACACAAGCAAAATATCACCATAAACAATAATAGCTGGGTTCAGTGGTGGTGGACACCTTTAATCCTCGCATTCCGAAGACAAAAAGATCTCTGTGAGTTTGAGGCTAGCCTGGTCTACATAATGAGTTCCAGGACAGCCAGGGCTGTGTAGAGAGACCCTGTCTCAAACAAAACAACAACAACAACGACAACAAAAAAACACAATAATAAAAATACTACATCCACATGGTTCAAAATTTAAAAATAAGCGAGGGACTGGATGTGTGGCTCAGTGGTGGATTGCTTGCACGTGCATTCACCTCGCAAACTCCTCCCTGACGGCCAAGGTCACAGGTTTAAAGCACACGCAAGCATAGTCAGAAAGCTCCCATTTCTGCACATGGTTGGAAAGCTTTCTTAGTGCTCTCACGGATATGCCCGTGTCACGGGATCCCCCAAACAAGACCACCACAGAGCCAGGATCCGATGCAAACCCACTGGGGTTTATTCAAACTAGCTTGGACCATAATCCAACACATCGAAGCGGCGGTTGGGGGAAAACGGCCCCAAGCTCTCAGGTTAAGTTAGGGGTTTTTAAAAAGAAAAACCACAAGCAGCATGGCACAAGCCTTGGCGTTTCAGGATTGGGTAAAAGTAGGCAACTTTTGAATTCATTGGTTGGGGTGTAGGGGAATTTCAAAATAGTCAAAACAGTGGCTAATCACATACTTACAAGGACATTTGAAGCAAACAGATGCAAACAGATGTTGTTTGGACACCCTGGTGGATCACTTTGACCAGGGCTGGCACAGTTTCTTGGGAATGTTTATGACTTTGTGGGCTGCATTCAGGCCCCAGTTAGGTCCTGTCTAAAATGGAGTTCCTTCTCAAAATGGAGTTTGTTCTGCTCCTTCATCACTTTTCCTAATGCTATACCTGACCTCAGCCCACGCGGGTGCATGAAGAGCCATCTCCCTGTCTGCCAGTGTGCCCGTGCAGACCTCAGCCCACGCGGGTGTGTGAAGAGCCATCTCCCTGTCTGCCAGTGTGCCTGTGCAGAAACGCGCCATGCTTATCAGCTAGCTGCCTATCAGTGAGCATTTTCATTGTCACCCAGTGCTTACGGTGACCGCGTTGTGTGTTCTCAACAGTCTATACACACATCTGCACACACGAGCCTGTCAGAACGGCTACACCAATTCTAGCCTTGGCTTCCTGATGGGGCCCTGGCTAGGGAGCTTCAAACAACTAAAAGGTGCCCATCCCAATCTGGGTCTGAAATCCTGTAGCAGGCTAGGGCTATGTAGCAGGCTAGGGCTATATAGCAAGACCTCATGTCAAGAGTGAACGAACACGGAGCTGGAGAGAGTGCCAGACGGCCCTTGAAAAGAATCCAGGTTGGTTCCCAGCACCTGCGTCACCGCAACCATCCTAACTCCAGTCCCAGGTGACTCCGTGGCCTCTTCTGCCTCAGTGGGAACCAAGCACGCATGTGATGATCACACATATACAGGAAAAAACACTCGGACGTGTGAGATAAATAAATCTTTTTTAAAATGTAAATAGAATGCCGGGCGGTGGTGGTGCACGCCTTTAATCCCAGCACTCGGGAGGCAGAGGCAGGCGGATCTCTGTGAGTTCGAGACCAGCCTGGTCTACAAGAGCTAGTTCCAGGACAGGCTCCAAAACCATAGCGAAACCCTGTCTCGAAAAAAAAACAAAAAAACAAAACAAAACAAAAAACGTAAATAGATAAGACATTAGCAGGGCACCACGGTCTCTGCAAGCTCAGAGAGAACCCTTCTTTACTCTTTCTAGTTTCTGGCAGCGACAGGTGACTCTTGTCGTGTCTAGGCCTGTAGATGCATCGCTCTCGTCTGCCTCTGTGTCCAAATTCTCCTTTTCCAGCAGGGACACTGGTTATCGGAATAGATAACCCTCCAACCCAGCATGGCCTATCTTTTAAATGATCGATTTTTACTGTGTGCAAATGCATGTGCATGGCCTATCTTTTAAATGATTGATTTTTACTGTGTGCAAATGCATGTGCGTGCGTGCGTGTGTGTGTGTGTGTGTGTGTGTGTGTGTGTGCGCGTGCTGGTGTCTGCAGAGGTCAGAGGCATTGGATTCCCTTGAGCTAGAGTTACTGTCTGGGCAACATAAACTTTTGGAGACACTGTTCTGCCTGGTCACAACCCCACTAACAATGCTTGACTGTGAACACGACCTTCTTTAATGTCTCTCTAGGGACTCAGGTGACAGATAAGGCTCAGGAAATGTTTGGCAGCTGAATTCTGCTCCTCTGTAATGGGATGCAGTGTCGGGACTGGGCTGTGTGGAAGCCCGGCATCTATCGGGTTGTGGTTGGGGACTGGCTAGTGCGGCGGTTGGGAAGGAAAATGCAAGTGACAAAGCTGTTCTGGACTAGGGATCCTGATTGGGTAACCAGAGAGCCCCATGATGAACCTGCCTCTCTCTTCTCCACATGGTATTAGTTTATCAAGTCTGGCTTTCCATGTGGAGGATTCTGTGAATTGCATGGGGACCTGTAGTTATCAACTGATCTTCTCCTCAGCTTCTCCCCCTTTGGGGACAAGATCTCGTATGCAGCCCTGATGAACAGGAACTCACTGTGTAGACCAGGTTTAATAATCTTTTTCTTAAAGGGTTGTCCTAGCTGGGCGGTGGTGGCGCACTCCTTTAATCCCAGCACTCGGGAGGCAGAGGCGGGCGGATCTCTGTGAGTTCGAGACCAGCCTGGTCTACAGAGCTAGTCCCAGGACAGGCTCCAAAGCCACAGAGAAACCCTGTCTCGAAAAACCAAAAAAAAAAAAAAAAAAAAAAAAAAAGGTTGTCCTAGGGAGCAAATGAAAATCAAGAACTTAAGCATACAGTAATCTTGGCTAGGAACCATTTCTCTCTCTCGTTCCCCATATTCTGGTGATCTAGGAGGAAAGAGGCAAAGGCAGTGTTCATCTGAACTGTTTATTGAAAGGTGAGGCAAGATGGAGGAGGTGAGAAGCAGGGAGGGTACATCCTGCAGGGCGCAAAGGTGGTGGGGATTTGTCTGAACCCTCTTCCTGTCCCTAAAGGCCAGCTGGTCTGCCACAGGCTCCTCTGCTGTCCTGGAGCGCCCTCTACTGTCCTACAAGAGGAAATCTTTCTGGCCGGACAGTCCATAGGAAGAGGGATGGGGCTTCCAGGAGGGCACACTTATTAGGAAGGTCAGAATCAGGCCCAGTGGGCATTGCTGTTTAGGGGATGGACTTTGAGGGGCAAAGATGTCCCACTCTTCCTAATCCCTGAACTTTATATTTTTCATTACTTTTCTTTGTGAGTGTGGTGTGGGGTATGTGTGTGTGTGTGTGTGTGTGTGTGTGTGTGTGTGTGGCGGGGGTGGGGGGAAGTCAAAGGATAACCAGAGGAAGCCAGGCTTCTTTCACCTTGTAGGTCCCAGATATGGAACTCAGGTTGTCAGTCTTGCCAGGAAGGCCCTTCACTCACTGGCCATTTCACCAGCCTGGACGGGCGTTCTTAGTTGAGTTTACCCGTCTTGAGCAGATTGGAGCATAAGACTTACTGGGGGGTGGGAGGGGGCTATGAGGGTTCTGGAGAGACTGGCACTACAGCGTGGAAGGAGGGCGAGGAGGACCGGGGGGAAGTGTCTGCCTTCTCTAGCCTGCAGACTTAGGAGTCCTTTTGGGGCTGGCTGGTCTGCACAGAACACTGCCCCAAAGGACTGGTGGGAGTCAAGAACCAAGACTGATTGCTGACATCATGGAAGCCAGGGGACAGCTGCTCGGGCTCATCTCTGAAGACCTCCACAGGGCTGTCAGCTTCGGAGACCATGGGCTCTGCCTTGATGTCCTGGTTCAGCCAACTGGAGGTGGCCAAGAAGAGGCAGACAGCCAGCAGGATCCCCGCTGTCCCGCACAGCGTCGCTCCTGCCACACGGCAGGTGATCAGAGCTTGGTTATAGTCGGGAATTGGATCATCCAAAGATGAGAACCGACTGACATTGACCAGCTCTAGTTTGGGGGGCACTGCATAGCCAGTGGTCAGGGCTGCCACACCGAGCAGGAGAAGCAGGGACGCCACGGACACGGTCACCTGAGGAGAGCAGACAACAGCAAGCATCCAGGCTCAGCCGGGGTCCAGGATCATAGGACCATGAAATGGGCATCACAGATCATCCTCGCAGGACCTAACTGACAGCGCTAGGGGCAGAGACCAGGACTTTGAACATGTTAGGGGCAAGCACTCTGTCACTGAGCTACAGCTTCAACCACTTTGAATTTCAGTTTGAGGGCAGGTCATGACCAGAATAGCCGAGAACTGTCTATATAGCCCAAGATGGCCTGGAGCCGGTCTTCTAAGTCCTAGAATTGCAGGTGTGTATGACCATATCCACTCTGGTAATGTTTTTCCCTCAATGGCAAAGCCAACCTTGAGTTCTGTCCATCATTATCTGGGCCCCACTTATTACTATTCGAGTGTATGTGCATGTATGTGTGCATGTGTGTACATGTGTGTGTACATGTGTGTATGTGTGTGTGTTGTATAGAGGGGTTGCAATGGCACATGTAAAGGTGAGGGGTCAACCTCTGGTATTGTTTCTTAGGAGCTGTTTAGGTTTTGAAATAGGATCTCTCTCCAGGAAATGGAACTGGTTAATTAGGCTAGGCTCAGTGGCCAGCAAGTCCCAGAGATCCTCTTGTCTGTCTCTCCAGCAATAGGATTAGAATAATTTTTTAAAAAACATTTCTTTATTTTGAGACATGATCTCTCTAGGTAGCTTTGTTTGTTCTGGAACTCGCTATATAGCCAAGGCTGGCTTCGAACTCGTGAAGTTCCACCTGCCCTTTAAGTGCTGAGATTAAAGGCATGCGCTGCCATACCCAACTCTACCTGGCATTTTCACATGGGTACTGGGGATTCATCCACGTCCTCATGTTTGCAGGGCAAGCACTTTACTGCCTGAGCTATATCCTCAGCTCTATTTGGTTCCCATCCTACCCCATGATCCTTTCCACCCTCCATCTCTTTGCTAGGCTGATGCTCAGATATCCTCAAGTCTTATTTCAAGCCATCCCTCCTCTGAGATGTGTCTAGGACACTTCCAGTTTGGGCAGGTGTCTTTCTCTTTACACAGCCCAGGGCCAATTAGTCCTTCAGTGGAGCCACCTCTGAACACATTTGGACATGAACTTTGGTGAAGTGAGTGACGTGTGCCTGTTTTACTGAACTGTACCATCTGAGAGCAAAGGTTGGGCACGTCTCCCAGCTATCAGGAGACTGAAGTAGGAAGATGGTGATTGTGAGGCCAGCCTGAGCTACAGAGTGAGTTCAAGGCTAGCCTAGTGGAACCTGCCTGAAAATAAAAAGTAAAATGAGGACTTGTGGTGTGGCTCAGAGGTAGAATGTTTAAGTGCAGTCCTTCATCACACACATGCACGCATGCACACACACGCACACACCCTCATACCCTCACACAACAACACATGCACGCACACACCCTCATACACACAACACACCCACACACGCATGCGCACACACTCTCACCCTCACACACATGCTCTCCTCTGCTGATTAAGTCCTGCCTGAAACACTTTGTTCAGGAAGTCTTCTCTGGTCATCCCAGGTTCCGAGGCCATTACCTGTCCTGGCATCTCTACACACCTGATCTGAGGCTGGTCTCTCTCCACAGGTTAGCACCTCTAATGGAAGGAAGCCCTTTGGGAGCAGAACGAGGAACCCTCTGCTTCAGTTTCTCTACAGTATCTAGTGATGAGCTGGGCCCATCGCAGGCACCGACTGACACCTTGGCTGTACGAACACCAGTTGTCTGTTTCTCGCATCTCTCCGCGGCCTGTCAGTGGTACCCCACAGTGGGGAACCGTGGTGAGATGTAGGTGAGATCAACTCCACTTCCTGCCACTGGGTTTCCTCTCCAAAGCCATGGTAATCAGCACAGAGCTGGCAAGCGGCCCAAACAGTCAGACTTCTAGGAACAAAATGCTTTCATTCCTTCTTCATTTCAATCATTGGTTTATTAATTATTAATTAATCTATGTACTTCCAGTCAGGTCTCACTTGGTTGCCTCGGTTGGCGTATAACACACTATTTCTATCTCAGGCTGGCCTTGAACTTATGAGCCTTCTCCCTCAGCCTCCCCAGGTATGGGCCACAGTTTTATTATGCATCCCAGGGAGGCCTTCAGTGAGTTTCTGGCTATTTTAGCTTGATCTTTCTTTCTAGGCAGATGTAGTTCAGGCTGCCTCAAATTTGTTATATAGCCAAGTGTGATTTTGAAACTCTAGCCCCCCTGCTCCTACTTCCTAGGGCTAGGATCGAAGTTGGGCACCAGTACACCCAGTCCATGCAGTGCTGGGGATCAAACCTAGGGCTTCACTGATGACCCGAGTCATCGAGGCCCGGAATCTACAAGGAAGGCTGTGAAGCTGCACTCTTGCCTCATGCACACCTGCATTTGCACACGAAGCACTACACACACACACACACACACACACACACACACACACACACACGTTCTGTCAAAGCGTTTAGATGTATTCAGTCTGCTTGTATGAGTGTGTGCTTGACTATGTCTGCGCACTGCACACGTGTCTGGTGCCCGTGGAGATCAAAGAGGGCACTGAATTCCCTGCAGCTGGAGGTACTGATGGCTGTGAGTCACCATGTGGGGCCTCTGTAAGAACAGTCAGTGCTCAAACTGCTGGGCCATTTCTCCAGCCTCTTATAACAATGCCCAAGAGTCAGCACCGTAGCCAGCATGTGAGTGACACCACAGGAGAGCGTGAGGCTGGTGGGCTGTGTGGGCTGAGAACATGGGGAGCTGGAGGACTAAGAAAAAGCTGGCAAACTCCTCGGTCCTTTGCTGGATCCAGCATTGCCAGAAGGTATCCAACCTCTGTTCTCTTCCAGAAAATGAGCTTTGTTATTGAAACCTATCTGCACTGTATTTTCTGTTGCTTGAGCATGTCACTCCTGACCACCCCATTGTCTCTCTTCTACCCATACTCTGGGCCTCATCCAGTCCCCCCTCCTCCCCAAAGCCACAAGAGTCATTCCTTTGGTCTTACCTTCCAACACAATGGGGGCCAAGGGCTGTAGTTATACTGGACGAGGGGTCCTTCTGGGTTATCGCTTTCCCTGTAGAAGAGACCGGGGTAGGTTTCGATCCCATACCACGTACTTTCCTCCACACCGGTGCCATGGCTACAGACACACGCGCGACTGCAGCTCATCTTGGGTCCCTGTGGGCACAAGTACATTGATGGGGGTTGGGAGAAGATCAGCAGGAGTTGCCATGGCAACCCTCTCACCAGGAGAGGCCCATTCACTACTCCTCACTATCACTGGACAGCTCCCCTGGCAGTGCACCTAGCCGGTCAGCTTCCCCTGTTTTTCCCTAAGTCCTTCATGCAGCAGCCAGTGGTTTTCAGCCTTATGCCTGGCAGCCGTCTGTCCATCTGCCTGTTTTCTCCACAGACCACCCAGCAGCTGGAATGTGGCTCTGGAACCAGAGAGCTGGGCTGAGACCCAGACCTACGCTTCCTTGATGTGACTTTAGCCATGTGTACTGACTTCTCTGGCCTTCTTTGTTTGCAAAATAGGACTAATAATGACAACTGTTTCATTCAAGGGACTGATGTGATTATTTTGGTGTTTTCTTCTTGAAATTTCTTTATTAATACATAAAAAAAATTCATTTATTCAGATGTGTATGATGTACATGTGCGTGCATGTGGACATGTGTGGAGGTCAGAGGAAGACTTGCAGGAGTCGGTTCCCCTTTTACCCTGTAAGTCCTGGGACTTGAACTCTGGCCATTAGCTTGGTAGCAACACGCATCTTTACCCCCTGAGCCATATGAACAGTCCCCATTACTGTGCTTTCTGTTATTATTTCCTTCCTCCCATGATTTTGAGAGAGAGGTCTTCATGCGCCCCGTCTTTCAGGACTCTTTCCGGGGTGATTTTCATAGATGATTTTTGTCCAGTGGGTGGGAGACCTCGGGCTGCATGGTCCTGAAAACCTAGGGCCAACTGTCACAGCATACAAGTCTCAAGGAATTCTGAGTCCACAGAAAGTGAGACTCAGGGCCCCCCAGGATTAAGGCCTCTCAGTCTTTTTGACTGTCAGATTTCCAGGAAAGACCATTTAGGAACCCACAAAAGGAAACTCAGATCCGGGGGATAGAAGGGACCTGTGTTAATCAAAGTGCTGGGAAGGCCTGGACTTTCTGCTTCTTCTTTCCCATCTCCCTCAGTTCCCTGTGCAGCTTCAAACAAAATCAGTGCACTTGTTCTGAACAGTAAGGGGATCTAAGACCCTTTACAACCTCAATCAGTGTGACCCCAGGATCCCTTCATAGACACACACACACACACACACACACACACACACACACACACACACACGGTGCTTTTGGAGACCCCAATGAGGCATACAGGTGCATACGGGTGCTGACTGGATTGTAGCTCTCCACTCTCCCCACAATTCAAGGGAAGGGAGAAAATAAAGGAAGGAATAAAAAGCAAAAGCCAGAGAATGATAAGTGGTAGACGCCAAGGTACAGCAGCGGGGGCTCTGAGGAGAAGGTGGGGGCGGAGGCCTGACCAGAGCAGAGAACACCGGATGCGAGGATGGAGATGCTGATGAGGAAAATGAATGGGGCTGGAGGACAGTAGGTGACTCAACCCAAGCGGAAAGTCGAGGCCCAGAAGGGGCGGGGAGGGACACAAGACAAGGGGCCAGAGTCAGCCCCTCCCCTGTATTTCCTGCTGATACTTAAGAAGGAAGGTGACCTTGAGTGAGCCTCCCCACTCCCATCTTAGAGTGGGGGGCTGGGGGTGGGGAAAGGACACAGAGCGACAGGATGCTGAAGAGCCCTGGGGTTGCCATGGAAACATCCAGGAGTGTGTTCCTAACCTGCAAAGGGAGAGACTTGATGAGAAGCGAGTGGGAAGAGGAAGAGGCTGCGTAGGTCGGGGCAAGGAGTTCTGTAGTGGCGGAGATGGGTTGGAGGACACCCTGAATCTGAATCTGTCCTTAGGCACGCCCACCCCAGCGCGGCTGGAAAACCCTCCTTGGGAGGAGGCTACGGGGAAATCAGGAACACCAGCTCTGATCCCTGACCTGATCACCCTTTGGGGCGAAATAAACTGCGTACTTTCCCAGGGGGGAAACTGAGGCACGGCGTAATGAGAATAGGTTGTTGGAGAGGGGCGGGGGAACTCATCCTTTGAAGCCTCTGCCTAGTCTATGAAACCTGGGGTGTCAAGGCCCACAGTGCCAAGGGGCTCTCTATCACCTCCACTTCCCCAAGCCAGACACAATTGTGGCCGGACACAATCATGAAGGGGAGTAGGGGTGGAGTAGCGCTCCTAGGAACAGGGGAGCCAGCCGGGTAGGGGTCGAGCTACATGGAGCAGGGACTGAGCTCACCTCTGGGTCTGAATCTCCGGAGCCAGCAGAAGCTGTCGGAGCTGGAGCAGAGCAAAGCGAGTTTGCTGCGCGCAGGCGCAGCAATCCCGGGCGGGGGTGGAGTGGGATGGGAGGAGGTGATGGGGGGGAGTTGCGGGGGAGGGGGTCCGAACCCAGAGGTCAGCTCTGCAGACTGTAGTCCTAGGCAGATTCCCCAAACCTTGTCCTTTCCCGCGTTCCCTTCTCTTCCTTCCGAGGGGCTCTATGTGTGCATCTTCTTGGGCATCATCGGGGGTGTTCAGACTCCTCAGCCACACTCCCATCATGCCTCAGGCCAGACTCCTCTCACGGAAGACCGGTTTTTCCATGAGCCTCTGTCTCCCCCACAGTATCTTCAGACCCTCCTCGGGGTCTCTATTCCTCCAGGTGCCCCTAATCCATACAGAACACCAACATCCGGGCCCAAGAATGTAGCTTACACGAAACATACACAAACCATGGGTTCTACCCCAGTAATTTATAAAGCCAGCATGGTAGCACATGCCTGTGATCCCAGCACTCCAGGGGTGGAGGCAGGAGGATCAAAAGTGCGGGGGCATTCTTAGTTATATACCTAGTTATAGGCCAGCCTGGGCTACATCAGACTGTAATCTTTAAAACCAGCAACAAACATTACCTGTTAAGCCAGCCTGGAGGTGCATAATCAACAATGAAGGCGAGGGAGGAGAACCTCCAATATGGCTTATACAGCAAGACCCTGTCTCAAAACAAGAAAAGCTATGGATTTTGAGATCCTCTCAGGGCCTCTAATCTATGCACAGCCTTGGTCTCAGCAGCTGCCATCACTGAGCCCCATCTCTCACTGACATTTCCTGGGAAGTCCTTGCTGCCGCGAGAGTCTCCTAGTCTCACTTCCTGTTCCTATCAGAGTCCACCATCCTCACTCTTTGAGTGTCCACCCCAGACTAAGGATGAGTTGCTCTTACCTTGAGATGAGACTCAGGATGGGAAGGAGGAGGAAGGAGTCCACGACGCAGACTCTCTTATGCTCCATCCCTGTTTAGCTTCTGTGGCGGGCAGCGTTTGTCAGTGGCATCCCCTTAGGGAGTCGTCTTTTGATCGGCCTCGTGGCTTGCCATGTGCTTGCCCGTTTGCTGTGTGGTTCTGAGAGAATCATCTCTCGGAGCCTCATCGAAGGCACAGGATGCCTTCGTATCTTGAGCATCTGTGGTGGCTGAATAAGAATGGCCCCTATAGGCTCATATAGGCTTAGCCATTTGGGAGTGGCACTATCTGAAAAGGATTAGGAGGTGTGGCCTTAGTGGAATAGGTGTCGTTTTGTTGGAGAAAGTGTGTCATTGGGGGTGGGCTTTGAGGTTTCAAAAGCCCTTGCTAGACTCAATCTGCCTGCCTACCTGGGGATAGGTATATAAAGTCCTCAGCTCCTGCTCCAGCACCGTGTGCTCTGCCATGCTCTGCACCATGACGATAATGAACTAACCTCTGAAACTGTAAGCAAGCCTCCATTTAAATGCCTTGCTTTTATGAGTTGCCTTAGTCATGAGATATCTTCACAACAATATAATAGTGACTAGGACAACATCTATTCTGACACTCCCTGTGCTGGAGGCTAGGGACACAGAGCTAAGTGTGCTATACGTGATTGTACTGTGTGTTTCTTTTTCCATATCATATCCCCGAGCTCCCCCTAAGTGCTTTACTGGGTCAGTATTTACGAGCAGAGACTAATAATAGCCACAAACAAATGGTGCTCATTATGTGTGAAGAGCTTTGTATGCATTACAGTACTTATTTGTGTGTGCTTGCGCATGCGTGTGCACACGTGTTGGGGAGCACCCTCACTGGGAACGTGAGGGAGGGAATTTAAGGATGTCTGATGTTATCACAGTGAGATAAATGAATTTCTGGAGGTCATGGCAAGATAGGGTAACAAATGCCCTCGCAAGTGGGGCCAAACTTGAGCCAGGACATGCATGGGGTCCTGAATCATACAAAAGAGAAAGCTAGCTCAATGCCACCATTCATTGCCCTCTGCTTCCCAGTGTTGTGTGACTTTTTTATTCTTTTGACCTTTTGGGGGTCCGCCACCCAGTTCCCAGATAAGTCACACATGGAGGCTTATTCTTAGTTAGGAATGCCTGGCCTTAACTTGACTTGTTTCTTGCCAGCTTTTCTTAAATTATCCCAAATACCTTTTGCCTCTGGGCTTTTATCTTTCTCTATTTCTGTATACCTTTTTTTTTTTCCTTCTTCCTTCTCCATGGCTTGCTGTGTAGCTGGGTGGCTGGCCCCTGATGTCCTCCTCTCCTTGTTCTCTTGCTGTTCTTTCTTTCTATTTATTCTCTCTGTCTGCCCGCCCTGCCTATCCTTGCTCCTGCCTCGCTATTGGCCGAACAGTTTTTTATTAGACCGTCAGGTGTTTTATACAGGCAAAAAAAAATCACAGCTCTAGAATAAACAGGAGAAGAAATCCGGGAAGGGATGATAAGAATTGAGAAAAGGAGGAGAGGAGGACTCCAGGGCCCAGTCATGCAGCCGCCAAGCCAGACATGGAATAAGAAGGAAAGAAAAGATATACAGAAATAGAGAAAGGTAAAAGCCTAGAGGCAAAAGGTAGATGGGATAATTTAAGAAAAACTTGCAAGAAATAAACCAAGCTAA